CAGCAATAGAAACATAGAAAAACAGGAGCAGGAGTAGGCCATTCTGCCCTTAGAACCTGCCCCACCATTCAATATGATCCTGCCTGACCGTCCAACTCAGTTGCTTGTTCCTACTTTCTCCTTATACTGCTCATAGACTGCAGCAGTTCAAGAAGGCAGTTCACCACCACCTTCTCAAGTGGCAACTAGGAATGGGCAATAAATGTTAGGCCCAGCTAGCGACTCCCACGTCCCACAAGTGAATAGATAAAAAAAAGTACCCCGATACCTGTGGCCTAACAACCAAATGTACCTCCTTCCTGAAATCATTCAATGTTTTTGCCTCACCGGCTTTAGAATCATAGTTTTCTGTGGCAATGTGTGGTTGGCTCTGAAGTGGTCAAGATGCTCAGTTTTATCAAATCACAGCAAAATAGAATATGGGCATGGACTTACAACAAACAGGTTGAAAAGGTGACTGCACTGTAAACTAACACTAAGCCTTGTTAGTGCAAGCTCCGCATGGACAGAGGAAACAGATAGTGAAATAGAAGGGAGCCGAGGAGGAGCTAACAGGTTTGAGTCGGAGGAATGCAGAGTCCTGGGACAGAAGGATGACGATCGACGCTCTAACATGTGGTGTTTGAACATCATGCCTGGCTGTTCAGGCCCTCTAGTGCTTCTGCTGTCTCTTGGCACACTTCCCAATAACCACCTGAAACAAGACCCCTGGGTGCAGATTCCCAGGGGACTTCTGAGCTTGGGAACTGTCGCTGGATATCCTGAAACACCAACCTGAACATTTGCATTAAGCAGCTCCTTGATCCCGAGTCTTGAAATCAGCTCTAATGGGATGTAGGGGTAAAATAGACAATAAAAACCGAAAGAACTGCGGATGCTGTAAATCAGGAACAAAAAAGAAGTTACTGAAAAAGCTCAGCAGGTCTGGCAGCATCTGTGAAGGAAAAAAAAATCAGAGTTAATGTTTAGGGTCTGGTGACCCTTCCTCAGAACTGATGGTGGCTGGGAAAACGTCTGTTTATATGCAGAAAATAGGGAGGTGGGTGGGGTAGGGAGTAAATGATAGGATAGAGCCCAAAGAGAGAGCAAGACAGTTGGACAGACAAAGGAGTTGCTAGCGATCAGGCTGGGAGGGTGAATGGTTGTTAATGGGGGCTGTTAGTGACTAACAACAGGGAGTGTGTAATGGCAGGCTATGTGATAACAAGGCCTGGTTTGTAGGGTAGGGGGCTGGGACATGGGACACCGTAAAATTATTGAACGCGATGTTGTAGGTAAAGTAGACATTCACTCGAGACGGACTTCCCTATGACTGTTTATAGTGAATCCACATCCTTCACATGTGCTGGCACCTCGCAGTGCTATTCGTGAGCCTAGCCTGGTTCTCTGCTTCCACAACATGGCTTTTTGGATCCACCTGATTTTGGGATCCAGCTCAAGAACAGTTGGACAAAATCCAAACCTGAATAAGCTGGGGCTATTTTCCCCGAGGCATCGGAGGCTGAGGGGTGACATTAAAGAGGTTTATTAAATCATGAGGGGTACGGATAGGGTAAATAGCCAAAGTCTTTTCCCCAGGGTGGGGGAGTCCTCAGTTTCAGGTGAAAGGGGAAAGATTTAAAAGGGGGCAACTTTTTCACACAGAGGGTGGTGCATGTATGGAATGAGCTGCCAGAGGATGTGGTGGAGGCTGGTACAATTACAACATTTAAAAGGCATCTGGATGGGTACATGAATAGGAAGGGTTTAGAGCGATTGGGACAAAAGCTGGCAACAGGGACTAGACTAATTTAGGATATCTGGTTGGCATGGACGAGTTGGACCGAAGATTCTGTTTCCGTGCTGTATATCTCTACGACTTTATCCATTTATTGTAATCAAACCTCAGTCATAGAAACCAGGGGCTGGAGTAGGCCATTCAACCCTGGGAGCTTACTTCACCGTTCAGGATCATCATGGCTGATCCTCTATCTCAGTCAGATCTCTTTGGGGTTTTCATTGTTTTATTACAGAGTTAAAAACCCCCTAGCTCTCAAAGTTTATCTTGATGACTGAGTGCCTTGGGCCATTTCTAAATGCTGTTCTCTGAAACGTATCAAGGATGATCACATCCTGGTCATCAAGTGAAGAGACTGAAAGGTGACACTGATTGCTGGACAATACCTGTCCAAGACCTGACGCAATGAAAAAAATTGCATTTCTTGTTATTTTTAGGAAGTTCATTTGCCGTGCAAAATGCATAAATAACCAATTTGTTTTCACAATAGTCTCAGACACTGGTTGTTGACTTTCAATATCAGGTGTAGTCTACCATCCAACTCCTTGGTCTCATCAATGATTGATCATAGATTGTAGAATCCCTACAGTGTGGAAACAGGCCCTTCGGCCCAACATGTCCACACCAACCCATCCCCCTATAACCCACCTAAGCTCCACACCAGCCCATCCCCCTATAACCCACCTAAGCTCCACATCCCTGAACATTACAGGCAATTTAGCGTGGCCAATCCACCCTAACCTGCACATCCTTTGGACTGTGGGAGGAAACAGGAGCACCCAGAGGAAACCCACACGGACACGGGGAGAATGTGCAAACTCCACACAGACAGTTGCCCGAGGGTGGAATTGAACCCAGGTCCCTGGTGCTGTGAGGCAGCAGTGCTAACCACTGAGCCACCAAGACACATGTTCAGACAGTTGTGCACATCATTAGAAACTTACTCATGGGAGGAATCAAAAGACTGTTCACAATGTATTCAAACTCAATGAAAACGAGGAGAGATGTAGAGATGGGTTGCTGTCTCGTTACCACTCACTCTATCAGGCAAAGTTAAAAAGATCCACAGCCTCTCCCCATCACTCTTCAGTTTGTAACAGCATGGGTAGCGACCATTCAGTCTGTCGATTCCATGCTAGCTTTCTGTCAAGCAGAAATCCAGTTAGCCCCACTCTCTATTCCCATCATCCTTTACTTCCTCAGGTGCCCATCCAATTTCCTTTCGAAAAATCAAAAATGAAATGTGAAATGCTGTGGATGCTGGAAATCTGAAATGAAACTGCTGGAAAACCCAGTTCCGAAGAAGAGTCATACTGGACTCAAAACGTTAACTCTGTCTGCAGATGCTGCCAGATCTGCTGAGTTTCTCCACCATTTTGGGTTCATATCCCTTTTGACATTGCACATTATTTCCACTTCCTGCATCCTCATGGGCAGCAGGTCCTAGGGTAGAGAACTGTTGTCTAAGGTCATGGTTCTGAAAGAGTTAATGCTTGGGGTGAGACTAAAATCCACCCAGCCTCCAGGTGGAGAATCCATCAGAGTCTGCCATAGTCTCAAATTGGGGGCAAAGTTATCTTTTCTCCCATGTGGTTGGTTTTGTTAACGTTCCTTTGAGTTAATGCAGCCCATGTCTACGCACTCAGATGTAATAAACTGCACAGCGTTATTCCAAGACTTCAGCCTCTTTCGCTGAGACCAGTTTGTGGTCCATCCTGTACCATCAGTGGTTGCTACCAGGTATCACATTGTCTTATAACAATGACCAAGGGCTGTTGTGGTAGTGTCCAAACCTCTAGGCAACGGAGGCCTGGGTTTAGGTCTCATCTGCTCCAGAAGCATGTCATTTCATTCTCCCTGAAAAGAGTGCTTAGGAAATAACTATGAGACCCGGCATTGAAGCATAAAAAAAAATCAGTAATGAGCTGCCCTTTCCTGGGCAATTTATAAATGTGAGGGCTGTTGTGGTAAAGACCCTATCTCTGAATCAGGTGACCTGGTGTGTCATACCATCTCTAGACAGGTTGTTTATTGAATATCTATAACAATTATGATATGTTGTCTTTTTAAAACAAAGCTTTTCCTCGTATTCCCCCTGCCCAGCCCATGCACTGTATACTTTGCCTGGAATTGTCAATCCCTGCTCTCAGATCCTCTGGTTCTCTACCAGGAAGTAACGGGGCTGCCCTTTAAGAGTTACAGTGGCAGAGACTTCGTCTTTGGTTTGTTACGGTGTCTGCTCCAGGGGATAAGAAAGTACCATGGACAATGTGAACATACAAATTAGGAGCAGAAACTGCCCTTCAAGCCTGCTCTGGTTTTCAATAAAATCACGGCTGATCTGTTTGTGTTTTATCGTTGATTCTGCTGCCTTACAAGAACCTATCCGCCTCCACCTTATAAGTATTCAACGATCCTGCCCTGCTTCCTTCGAGGAACTTTGCACAACTCTCTCCTGAGAAAACAAATTCTCCTCATCTCTGTCCCGAACAGGGCAATGCCTAAATTTGATTCTGGGTAAGGAGGGACTGTCTTATTATGAGAGGTTGAGTAAATTGGGACTATACTCATTGGAGTTTAGAAGAATGAGAGGCGACCTTATTGAAGGACTGGACAGGGTAGGTGTGGAGAGGTAGTTTCTCCTTGTGGGAGAGTCTAGGACCAGAGAATAAGGGGTCACCCATTTAAGACAGAGATAAGGAGGAATTTCTTCTCTCAGAGGATAGTGAATCTTGGAATTCTTTATCATGGAGGGCTGTCGAGGCTGGGTGCTTAAGGCTGAGACAGAGATTTTTAATCAGTGAAGGGAATCGAGGGTTAAGGGGAAAAGGCAGGAAAGTGGAGTTGAGGATTGTCAGATTAGCTGTTGAATGGCAGAGCAGACTCGATGGGCAGAATGGCCTACTTCTGCCCCTATGGCTTATGATTTTATGGTGTTAAAACACTGTCCCTTAAGTTCTGGGCTGACCCACAGGAGGTAACATTCTTTCCACATCCACTGTGTCTGGTCCATTCAATATCTTTAAAATCCCAATGCCGTCACTGCTGAAAGAGACCCAGTCCTCGCAGAACGTGTTCAAAGTTTGCGTGGAGGTAAACAAAAACAACATCTGAAGTGTTTTGATGTCCTCAAGCCTCTGGTTGGTGATGAAAGATCACAGGAATTGTTTTTAAATGTATTTTTCTTCCCCAGCCTTGACTCCCTTTGTGAATCGATGTTGAAATGTCTCCACTTTTCATTTCCAGAGATTTCCTTCCTCGCGGATCTGGGATTGTGACCCGAAGGCCCCTTGTTCTTCAGCTGATTAACTCTCCAACAGGTATGGCGTGGCGAGATGAGTAGTACGACCCTGGTAAGCTATTTCTCCCCCTCTTATTCTGCCAGGCTGTGCGGTTCCAATGCTGCCCACCAACATGGGGCACCCAATGCCAGGTTTCCATGGCTTTAGTTCCTTTCATCTCCGTGGATCTTGTCGCCCAGGCAACCCCAAGATGATGTCAAATCTGTGCGAGGTGACTGATTCAATCCTATGCCCCACCATTTTCTGGGAGATCATGTGCTTCCTGAAGAACCCTTTCCTTTGTGACACTTCCCAGGGTCAGGTTGGGCACAAGATGTCTCATTTTACCAGTAAGGAACCTGTGTAAGGTTTCATCCTTGGCTCAAGGAGATTAGAGGCTGCTTTGTTCTAAAGCCTAAAACTCAATGAAGAAGCTGTAAAATAATTTGCAAGAGGACGATTGTAACATGCTAAATAAACCTTTGAAATTTAAAGGTGCTATCTGCAAGGAGACAATGGCCTAGTGGTATTATCACTAGACTATTAATCCAGAGGCTCTTGTAATGATCTGGGGACCTGGGTTTGAATCTTGCCATGGCAGATGGTTCAATTTGAATGTAATTGAAAATCTGGAATGAAGAGTCTAATGATAACCATGAAACTGTTGGGGTTCACTAATGCCTTTTAAGGAAGGAAACTGCCCTCCTTACCTGGTCTGGTACTACATGTGACTCCAGACCCACAGCAATGTGGTTGACTCTTAACTGCCCTCTGAGCAATTAGGGATTGGCATTAATGGTGGCCTGGCCTGTGATGCCCATATCTGGTAAACAAGTTCCTATGATAACAGTTGAGGGGTTCATCTCAGTATCCTGCTAACATTTGTACCTGAGACACTTCCCAACCAATGAGTTGAGGGATGTTATTTCCACACTTCTGGAGCATGTGGGACTTGAACCCAGGCCTCCTAGGCCAGGGACAGAAACACTACTGATGAGCTACAAGAGCCCCTGTCTGTGTTTGTCCATTAGGTCGTGACCCTGGACCTGCCTTTCACTCTCCACAGGTCCAATAGCTCACTGTTGAGCGCTGCCCTTTCTGCACTGAGGCAGACATGGACTCTAACACTTCCCCATGGCACCGTTCCATAAATGTAAGATGACAATGGAGGCAGGATTCTAACAACGCACCCGACTCTGAGAATTGGGGGAGCAAATTGTCACAGCTTTGGGGTTGGGGGCCTCATAATTTGATTGATATCACATTTAACAAGGTGTACCAACTCTAAGGAGGCTGAAGAGATTGTCAGCGGATGCCAGAAATCCTTAAGAAGCACGCCTCTGTAGAATCCTATTAGAAAGGATATTCCCTTACTCAAAATGAAGATTTCAGCCTTTCAATTAGGTCACCATCCCATACACCCTCTCACAAGAGAGAGTTGACTGCTAGGTGAGGTGTACAAGATGATGAGGGGCATGGACAGAGTGGGATAAGGAGCAGCTGTTCCCCTTAGTTGAAGGCCCAGTCATGAGGGGACACAGGTTCAAGATGAGGGGCAGAAGGTTTAGGGGGGGATTTGAGGAAAAACCTTTTTATCCAGAGGGTGGTGACAGTGTGGAAAGTGCTGGCTGGGAGGATGGTAGAGTTCAGTTGCCTCACATCCTTTCAAAAGGTTAATGAGCACTTGGTACATCATAACATTCAAGGCTATAGGCCAAGTAAATGGGATTAGGTTGAAGGTCAGGTATTTCTTCATGTGTCATGTATCAATGGGCTGAAGGGCCTCTTCTGCACTGTATGATTCCATGAGTTAATCTGAGGGGTCACTGCATCTCAGCTGAGGTTAGAAAGGTGTGCCTCTTATGGCTACTTCACCTGGTGGCAGGAATTGAACCCATGCTGTCAGTATCACAAACCAGCTGCCCAGCCAACTGAGCTAACCAGACCCACCCCCCCCCCCCCCCCCAGCAGAGACCCTGAGGGACAGGCTCTATACTGGCCCCTTCAATACTGGAGATCTTGAAGTAAAGACAGGGAAAGCTGGAAAAACTGTGGCTTGGGCAGGGTTTGTAGATGAGATCATGAGTCGGAGTTTGCCAGGACTAAATGTTTCAGGGGGTGGGGATGGCCTAGTGGTATTATCACTGGACTATTAATCCATAGACTCAGGAAATGTTCTAGGGATCCAGGTTTGAACCCTACCATGGCAGATGGTGGAATTTGAATTCAATATAAATTTGGCATTAAGAGTCTTATTGATGACCACAAATCCATTGCTGATTGAAACCATCTGGTTCACTAATATCCTTTAGGGAAGGAAACTGCCATCCTTACCTGGTCTGGCCTACATGTGACTCCAGACCCACAGCAATGTGGTTGACTCTCAACTACCCTCTGGGCAATTAGGGGTGGGCAATAAATGCTGGCCTAGCCAGAGACGCCCTCGTCCCGTGAGTGAATAATTTAAAAAATGCAGAGCCAGGGAAGATGGGTAGGTTAAAAACCGCAAAGCAAGAGGTCACAATTGTGCCAATCGTTCTGAGCAGAAGCAGATGTTCAGCAGAGCAGCTGCCCACACATCAAGGGGGATTCCAAAGTCAGCCACCGATAAGCTGGGCCTGTCCTGAGGTGCAGTTAATCCGACTTCACATCACATATTGGTACAATTTCTCAGTCATCTGCTTCCTCTGCCAAGATTCAGTCAAATGAAGAAGGGTCTAGGCCCGAAACGTCAGCCTTCCTCCTCCTCTGATGCTGCTTGGCCTGCTGTGTTCATCCAGCTCTGCACCTTGTTATCTCAGTCAAATGGAGCTGTCTCTGTTTGTGCTGTCACTGCTGCTCTCTGTTATAGTGAGAGGTCTGGCTTGGCAGCAATGGGCCAAATGGCCTCATTTTGTGTGTCCTGAATGTTCAGTGGTTCCTGTGAGGCAATTGTACAAATCAGCGATGTCGATTAATCGATCTAGGAGCGAAACTTTCACGGTTTGGGATAAGGGATGTAATCACTCCTGTGACTTCCTTGGTCCTCTGCACCTTCTACAGATTATACCCTCCCTTTCGTTGTGATTTCTTACCCCACAGTGGGTACATTAAGGAGTGGCTGCTTTGGGAGGAACAGACTGTCGTGAGAAGTGGGGAGAGGTGGGGAAATGGTGGATATTTTGGTTGGGTGTGTACTTTTTAGATGTGAGGAGGTCTGTGTCTCTTGCATTCGCAGCTTAAGTAAAAAAAAAATTGCATCTTTCCCGAAAGAGCCACACAGTCAACACACAGGAATGTTTTTCTTTCTAAAATAACATGAGCTGCACAATTAAAGTTTTTTTTTGTGGATGTGAGTCCAGTCTTATTACAAAAAGACCCTTCTCTTCTATTAGTTTTGGCATAGATCTAGTCCATTAAGCCCCCATTCATACATTGGGAGCCATATTGGAAAAATACAGGCTAAACACCCCCTACTGGGCCTCACGGTGCATCACAACCTCTCTATCGCCAAGAGAACAAATGTGAGTGTCTCTCTAAAGTCAAATTGCCCCCTCGGTGCTGAACTGTTGATTAGTTTGGTGCCCTCTTCATGGTCTTAATCCATGAACATGAAATTAGTACTGACACTGAGGAGCTGGGTTTTCCCTGTGCCAATTGCAGAGCTGTGACAGAACTGCTGACACTGCAGAAACACTAGCCATTGAGACACGAGCACACACACAACAGAGGAGCCTTTTCCAGGGTGCAGACACTATCCTTTTGTGCTTCATGGTGCAGAGGAGAACGGAGCTCTCAATCTCCCAGTACAGCTGTGCTGTGGGCCTTTTGACATGGGGGCCGCTGGAGGACTTCTTCCTGAACACACTCTGCCGTTTTATTTCTGATGATTGAACCCTATGCATTGGGGAGCGTGCTGTCTGCTCAGTGGTGGCCTCTTTGTATGTATTGATTTGAGATAACTGAGGCTACACTCAGTCCTGAAGAAAGCAGTGATTTTCTTCCCCTGAGAGAATGGGTAAAAACGCTGGATAGGATTCAAATTCCAGATCAAGATTGGTTCTCCAAGCTTCCTACACAGCTGCCCTTAGTTGACCCCTAGCAGCAACAGCTCAGCTTTCAGCTACACAGCACTGGAGGCTATTGGTTAGATAATTCCTCTGGCTGTGGCACAGGAAGATCCCAAGCCTGCTCCCTCCTTCAGCAGCTAACTGTGGCTCACGTCCTGCCCTACTTCAAGAAGAAGCATATTGATGTTAATTAGGCTGTTTTATTTAAAAAAAGAGACTTGCATTTGCATAGTGTCTTTTTCACAACATTAGCGCGTCCCAAAATGCTTCACCACTGACTAAATCATCTGTTTTTTTTATTCATTTGATGGAATGAGGGTATCACTGGCTAGGCAGCATTTATTGCCCATCCCTAATTGCCCAGAGAGTAGTTAAGAGTCAAGCACATTGTTATGGGTCTGGAATTTCCTTCCCTAAAGGAGATTAGTGAACCAAAAGGGCTTTTCCTGACATTTGACGGTGAATCCATCATCATCATTAGACTCTTAATTCCAGACTTTGTTTATTGAATTCAAATTCCAGCATCTGCCATGGCGGGATACAAACGTGGATGCCCAGGATATTTTCTGGGTCACTAGATTAACAGTACAGTGCCAATACCACTAGGTCATCACCTCCCTGAGGAGTGGATATTTCTGCAGGGGGAGAATGTAGATATAAGGGTCATTATTTAAAAATCAGGCCTCACCCACTTTGAAATAACTCCATAGAAAGCCTGTATCCCATCACCAAGTCACACTTTATTTACATAGAGTCAGAGAGGTCTACAACATGGAAACAGGCCTTTTGGCCCAACTTGACCGTGCTGCCCAGTTTTCACAATTAATCTAGTCCCACTTGCTTGCGTTTGGTCATATCCCTCCATACCTATCCCAACCATGTATCTATCCAAATGTTTCTTCAAGGACAAAGTTGTCCTTCCCTCCACCACTATCTCTGGCAGCATATTCCAGATACTCAATAAAAACCGAAAGAACTACAGATGATGAAAATCAGGAACTGATTTACAGCATCTGCAGTTCTGAGGAAGGGTCTCCGGACCCGAAACATTAACTCTGATTCTTCCTTCACAGATGCTGCCAGACCTGCTGAGCTTTTCCAGCAACTTCTGTTTTTGTTCCAGCCCAACACTGTCTGAAAAAAAAATGCCCACTGGACCCTTTTGTACCTCTTCCCTCTCACCTTAAACCTATACCCTCTAGTTTTGGACTCCCCTACCATGGGGAAACGCTGTTGGCTATCCACCTTATCGATGCCTCTCGTGGTTTTATAGACCTCTATAAGGTCACCCCTCAGTCTCCTACGCTCCAGAGG